ACCGGAAGTGGCGCCATCTTTAGTCTCTTGTGCTATTGACAAGATCTGGTTCTTTCCCCCTCCCCTTCCCCCTTCCCCCAACCACAGCAAACCCCCCCCCCCCAGAGAAGGAGAAAAGGAGGAGGAGCTGCAGCCTCGCAGACTTCTGAGTCGCTCCTGCAGAAAGGGGGAAGAGAGATCGAACAGCAGGGGAGGGGGGACGGCAGGGCCGTTTACCTGTCTGCCTCCTCATTCGCTCCCCCCCCACCCCCAGTTCTGCTCGCTCTTGGTGTCAGCCTATCCGCCTTCCCAAACCTTCCCATTCCCCCCGGTGTGCTCCCCCCTTCACTTTCCTGCTCGTCCTCTGTGTTTCTCCTCTCTTCTTTCTTCCCTTCCCCCTCTAGCATTGCCACTTTCTCTCCTACACGCACGCAGGCATATAAACGTAGGGTTTTGATGCTCCTCTGCCTGTTGACCCCGCTATTTTCATGTTTCCAACAGGTTTTTCTTCCCCCAATCCCTCAGCTGCTGCTGCTGCTGCTGCTCAAGAGGTCAGATCTGCCACTGATGCTAATACCAGCACCACTCCGCCCACCTCTGCCAAGAAGAGAAAGTTAAACAGCAGCAGCAGTAGCGGCAGTAACAGTAGTAACGAGAGAGAAGACTTTGATCCCACCTCTTCCACTCCTTTACAACCCAGGGATTCGGCTTCCCCTTCAACCTCGTCCTTCTGCCTGGGGGTTTCCGTGGCTGCTTCCAGCCACGTACCAATACAGAAGAAGCTGCGTTTTGAAGACACCCTGGAGTTTGTAGGGTTTGATGCGAAGATGGCTGAGGAATCATCCTCCTCCTCCTCATCACCAACTGCTGCAACATCTCAGCAGCAGCAATTTAAAAATAAGAGTATATTAATCTCTTCTGTGACTTCGGTGCATCATGCAAACGGCCTAGCCAAATCTTCTACCACCGCCTCTAGCTTTGCTAACAGCAAGCCTGGTTCTGCTAAGAAGTTAGTGATCAAGAACTTTAAAGGTAACCAAGGCCGTTATCCATAATCACCTACTAAGGATTTGACACTTGAGCAGTCACGTGCAGGTTATGTTACTGCATTAAACAGTATAGAGGTGGCCTGATGTTTTATGCACAATCAGTGAGGTGGAGAGAGGTCCTCTTTTTGCTGGAGGGTTCATTTTCCGTGGGTGATTAGTAGACTTGTGCTGAAACGCACACCTGGTGTTTCTGTGCAGTACTTTCAAGTCTCTCTCCACCTGTTTTATCCGTCTGTAATTCCTTATAACATTGACCTTCTACAATATGATTGATCTGGGTTTTACAGGTGAGGAAATTTGTATTCCAAAGAGTTTTATTTATTTCAGGTGCATAGTGAACCTTGGCACTACTGAGATTTTTATTTTTCTGCTTCTCTAGGCCACATTCTCCAGTCTGTAGAAATTCAAGTAGCACTGGTGATCTTCCTGTGCTCAAATAAAATTTATAAGTAGGTTTATAATGTTGAGTACTATAGTCATGAGACTCTTGGAGAAAAATATTTAGGGTCTCTGCATTACTTTCCAATGGTAGAGTTTGGAAGTGAAAAAATACTGTGTACACAGAAGTACCACTAAAGATACAATTAGTACATTTTTCATCACCAGAATGGGTTTTAGAGTATTGATCTACAGCTCTTAGGAAAATTTGCTTATGTTGTGTTTGAGTTATGTGCTTGACTTACAGTAATATGAATTCATGGATGCAAATATAAAAATCAGTGTTTAAAACTATTATCTGTTGAATGTGTTTCTATTTTTCTAACTTTACCACCCTAACTGGCCAATAATAGATGCCAAAATGTTCATTAAATGGAGAAGTAAATGAATGAACTAAAGTAATTTACCGTGTAAGTGCCTTGTCACTAAATATTAGTTTGAGAAAATTACATTCTCTATACTTCAATTTTAGTGTAGAAATAAGGAATATGTTCAGTTTTGTCTCAAGCACCAGTTATCGTACTGTATTTGTCTATTTTTAACTTTTTATATCACTCCCATCCTCAGGTTCTCGAGCGTTGTATTCTTTCTAGTGTAATAGTATAGCTTTCTAAAGTGAATATGAATTGTAATTGACTGTGTTCATTATTTCACTTATAGATATATTGATTTAATAGCCAAAAAATTTTAAAAGATGGGCTATGATCCTAATTGCATTTACAAATTGATTTAAGAGATTTTGTTTATTTTTCTCTCCTTCCTAAAGTAAAGACATATTATTAAATTTGGATGCTTTCATTTGTAAAGATTACTCGTAGCTGGCCAGTGAAGTTTAAAGCCTTGATTAAGAGGCTTCTTTTCATTCTGAAAATGTTGCCTAGGTTTTGGAGTCATTTGGATGTTTTAATTAAAAAAAATTTTTTTCTGCTTAGAAACAGTTTAAAACCTGAGTTAAGGTATTTCTCTCCATTTCTGTAGATGCTGCATAAATTTGGGGGTTAAACAGACCTGGATTAGAATCCCAGCTTTGCCATTGACTAGCGAGGTGACCTTGGACAAGCTTACCAACTGAGTTTCAGCCTCAGTTTCCTCAGTCATAAAATAGGAATAATAATACTCCACGGCATTGTTGAGAAGATTAAGAAGTTTATAAAATACTTTGCACATAGTAGGCTCTCAATATTTTAAATCTTAGGTACAAGATTCATGTCAACTTTGGTTTTATGTATGATAGGATAAGAGCAGGATCATTACATGTGCCTTGCTTTAATTTTTATTGTTTGAAGCAATACAATCAGTAGGGGATTTAAAAAACTTCACCTTCAGTTTTTTTTCACCTTCAGTTTTAGTAGATGAATCAAAATGACTTGAACAGTATTCTGAATTTTATTTATATTGAGTTTAAGTGTAGTAGTCACATTAATATTTAGACATAATAGTTATACCACAGTCACCCTAAAAATAGCAGTGCTGTTCTCTTTTATGGATTGTACTTTACTATATCCTACCTATTATTCTAATGCCAGTCTTTCATATGTCATCTAGATAAACCTAAGTTACCAGAAAACTACACAGATGAAACATGGCAGAAACTGAAAGAAGCAGTGGAAGCTATTCAGAATAGTACTTCAATTAAGTACAATTTAGAAGAGCTCTACCAGGTATGTATTAATGTGGATAACCAGATTTGATTTACTGCACATAAATTGTGGGATGCATATGGTTTTTACTTTCTGAAATGGGTCTTTAAGTACACTCTGGTTTCCTTTCATTATAATTTCTTCATTGATCAGTGCACTCTTTTATAATCAGACCACATACTCTTGGATAAACTGTGGGTACAAATTGGACCCTTCTGCTAAGGGTTCAGTTATATACCCTGGTATAATAGAGGCTTTATCTAATGAAATCCTGCAGCATAGATCCGAAAGATGATTTATGGTGACCTGTCATTCTATTGTGACAATTCTTGCTTTGATATAGGTGAGTAACACATTACTCACCTATAGGAAAGGCCTCAAGACATGCATGTATTCTTCACAACTTTTATTATGCTGCATCCTTATTAGTAGCTTTTTCCCATTGTATTCTTTGCTTTTGATGTTTGTTCTATCTCTTGGTCTACAAGGCACACCTTAGCCTAGAAATTAGCAGCAAGTTATAGCCCAGCAACTTAGTATGAGATTCAGATTTGTTTCTTTTGTTTAACAAATTGGTCTCTATTAAATATGTCAAGCAATTACTGATTTAGACTTGCTACCAAGAGAGTTTGCCCTACTGTGTTTTGACACAGCCAGTTGAAGCAGTTATTTTCTGTTATTGAATGAGCAGTTTGGTATTAAAAAATATTTCTGAGTATAGTAGCTTGATGAGTACCTTGTAAAAAATTACGTTAGTTCAATTTATAAGTAGTTTTAATTTTTGTATTTTAGTTGCAGAGGTAGTATTGTGATAAATGAACTGTGGACTAGGTTTGGGATCTAACTTTGACTGCTGTTATTTTTGTGATTTTTGACAAGGTACTAAACCCTATTGTTTCCTCCTCTCTAAAATAGGGGAAATAATAGCTGCTGTATCTTCCTTTCAGGGTTACTTAAGAATCAAATAAGATGTTTGTGGAAAAATACCTTAATGAAGCACTATGATATATAAATGTAAGATGATAGCATTAGTCAAATTTTTTCATGAAACAGTACAGTATAGCTTTCTCACTTGGAATATATTAGTTGAGATGACCAATTTCTATTGCAGAGAGAATTAAATGAGTCAGTGAGTGCAAAACAGTACTGAACAGGTAGTGACAGTGCTACTTAATTGTCAGCTGGTAGCAGTAATAGTAAGCTGTTATGTAAGGATAAGTCCATCTCATTTGGCTCCCTTAGTATATTACATATGTGGCTCCTGAGTTGCACAAGAATAAACATAGAATTGTGGATCTAGAGTTGGAAAGGCCTTCAGAGATCATGTGGTCTAGTACCTTTTCTTCATATAGTGTGTGTGAGCACCTGCACAGCAGATTCATCTCTTATCTCATTTAAACATTACAGAAATTGAGTAGATTCATAGTAATTATCCATACTTTATTAATGAGGAGACTGAGTCGCAGAGAAGCTAACTAACCTGCCCAGAGTTATATTGGCAGAACATGGGGAGTCAAACTCAAATGCTCAATTCCTAGTCTATTTGTCCCTCCAGTACTACCTCACTAATAACACAACATTTTACCTGCTGCTGTAGTCTTGTGCTTGAAGCAATTGAATTGTTTTACTTTAGGAAAAGAAATGTTCGTTTGTGTGTACATGGGGTGTTTATTTAGATGTGCTGTTATACAAACTATTTAATTTCAATAACATATTTAGTATTTATAACAAATGTTGATTGTTGTTGTTAATGAACCCTCTTTCCTTTGAATATCTTTCCTGAGATTTTGATTTGAAAATATTTTCCTTGACGAATTGATTCTGTTAAATCTTTTTGCTTCAAGAGTTTATGGCTTGCATTGTTTTTACTTTCTTATGCTTCCGAAGTTTTACTTCTATTTGTTCAGTTGCATTTCTTTAGCCTAGTCACAAGTGTTATAACTTTTCACTGTTTGCATTTTTCATACTACTTTACTGCTTCTGCCATAACACATTCAAAAGCATTTGTTTCTAGATCTTTTATTGGTTTTTGTGTTTGTTTGTTTTGAGGCAGGGTTTCCGCTATGTAGTTCAGGCTGGCCTTGAACTCACTATGTAGCCCAGCCAACTCGAAGCAATCCTCCTGCCTCAGCCTCCCGATTGCTGGGATTATAGGCATGTGCCACCATGCCTAGGTCTTATTGTTTTTGACCATAATTTTATAAATGCTGCTTTGTTTTTTGTTTTTTTGAGCCAGGGTCTCACTATGTAGTTCAGGCTGGCCTTGAACTCAATATGTAGCCCAGGCTGGCTTTGAACTTGCAGCAGTCCACCTGCCTCAGCCTCCCGAATACTGGGATTACAGGCGTGCGCCACCATGCCTGGCTATAAATGCTGCTTTGGATTGTTCTCAGATTATTTTGAGATGTCCAAGTTCAAAAAAGAAGATAAGGAGGTGAAGTTATTTCATAATGCAGGTACTTGTTTTTGATTCACTGAAATGTAATTTAAAAATCTGTAGTGACACAGTTCTCCAAACCCTTACAGCATTCTTTCCCTGAGGTAAATACTTGCTGGCATATCTTCATCCATAACTTTTTTGCATGAAAATTCATTTTGTTTTTTTGGCATTAAAGCTTAAACATGGAAGTCTCTGGGGTGGGTTGTATGTACTGTCTATTACGTTTTAGTTTCTAGAAAAGAACATGCTATTCAGAGTGCATTTACAATAAGGAAACTGTCTTTTTAATTTTATTTATTTGTTTTTGTTTTTTGTTTTGTTTTTGTTTTTTGAGGGGGAGATGGAGTCTCACTATGTAGTTCAGACTGGCCTTGAACTTGCAACCATCCTGCCTCAGCCTCCAGAGTGCTGGGATTACAGTCATGAGCCACCATGCCCAGCTTTGTATCACTTTTACAGGTTTTTTTTTTTTTCTTTTGAACTCAGGACCTTGTGCTTTCCAGGCAGGCGCTGTGCCACTGAGCTAAATTCCCGGCCCCATATTAATTTTAAATGAGAGTTATACCTGAGTTTTAAAATTCTTTTTTTTTTTTTTTTTGAGACAAGGTCTCACTATGTATTACAGGCTGGTCTTGAACTTACTGTGTAGTTCAGGCTGGCCTCCAACTGGTGTCAGTCCTCCTGCCTCAGCCTCCCAAATGCTGGGATCACAGGCATGCGCCCTCCATGTCCAGCTTAAAATTATTGTTTCTTGACAACTTTGAAATCTTGGAGGAGTGAGGCAGTGGTTAATATTTTGGCTTTAGTTTCTTTGGTAGTTTGCTTTTTTGTTGTTGTTAGGTTTGTTTTGTGTTCTTTTGTTTGAGGCAGGGTCTCCCTATGTTGCTCAGGCTGGTCTTGAACTCCTGGTCTCAAATGATCCTCTTGGCTCAACTTTCCAAGTATCTGGGAGTACCAAGTTGTTTGTTACTGATTGACTGCAAATAAACCAATGGTTAAATGTACTAATTTTGGTTAATTTCCGTACTTTATATTACAGATCTGCTACTAATCATAAAACTTTCTGCAAGTTACTTCTCTAAGTCTTGGTTTCCTCATTTGCAAAACAGGGAGTCTTAACACTACCTATATGACCAGGTTGTTTAGCTTTAAATAAAATACTGCAAAAAAGTACTTTGCATAGTCTCTCCTACATATAGGTTATCATCAATGATAATAAATACTTGAGTCTTTAAAAAATAAATCTTTTTTTTTTTTTTTTAGTTTTCTGAGACAAGGTCTTGCTATTAGTTCACGTTGGCCTTGAACTCACTATGTAGCCCAGGGGGACCTCGAACTTACAGCAGTCTTCCTGCCTCAGCCTCCCAAGTGCTGGGATTACAGGCATGCACCCCCACGCCCGGCATAAAAATAAATCTATTTAAAAATTACATTTTATTTTGGAGCTCTGTAGCCACAGATTTTAAAATCATAAATCCATACTAGGCCAGAACAGCTGGCTGATAAATAGATTACATTCCAAGTATGCTTCAGTAGACACCATTAGTGAAATTGAAAAATAATAACTCTCTAGGAACTGTTTTCCTCTGCACTTCTCAGGTATATGTCCTATTTTTATGTTCAGTATCTTAACAGTTGGAAGTTTTGTTTTGAGATGAGTTTTTTACCAAGTAATATTTTAAATAGTAAGATTATTTCCCTCATGTTCTTGGCTTTTGTATAACTAGCTGCATAGTGTTTTAAAGTCAGCTGCCCTTTTTGGAACTGATAGAAGTTGATATATGAGAGTATAACATATATTGTTAGTATAAATGTCTAGCTATTATCTTTGAAGGCAGTCTAGTCTGGTGATGGCAAACCTTTTTGGGCTTTCAATGATAACACCCCGCTGCAGCACGCATGCTATAGGTTCACTACCCACTCGCTAGTCCATATTTCAATTCTGATGAAAATAATTTTATCCATTGTTAATAATGGGAACTCTGGTTGGCCTTTTCTGAAATAATCTTAAATAATGAACTTTTCTATTAATGATTCATTTATATAGTAGGTGACCACAGGACAGGAAGCAAATTGTGCATCCATCTCGATATAAGTTATTACCATTGTAAAGTCTGATTATTTAAGCTGCCAATGGTTATAGGAGAGCAAGTTAGATTCTTAACAGTGTTGGTCACTAGCTGTTGGATTCTTTGTAAGTCTAACTTCTGTCAACCTGTTGATGTTTTTAGACTTAATTTGTTATGTGTTATATGTTTCGCCTTTTTTAATGAATTGTTGTCAATACTATCACTGCTATTTTTTAAAACTGCAATTATAAATTCTTAGTCCTTGATGATTTTCAGGTCTACTTAAGACCTGTGTATTAGATGTGAAAATGAAAAGTAATTTAAGTTTCATTGTATGATTGGTTTCTTTTCTGCAAAAAGATATAACTTATTTTACTACTATTATCAATTTTTGAAAAGTTTTTTGGTATACTTTCCCCCCTTTTTGGAGTTGAAAAATTAAGATCCAACCCATTAAGCAGAGGATGAGAGTTTAGCACCATGGTGGGAATGTACTATCTATCTGAATGTCT